ACATTTAGGTTGCCATGTTGTTTTGATAAGTTTTTTTTTTTTAAGAACTTCTCTTCAAAAAACACCTCCAGGGCTTCCTTGGTGGCGCAGTGGTTGAGAGTCCGCCCGCCGATGCAGGGGACATGGGTTTGTGCCCCGGTCCGGGAAGATCCCACATGCCGTGGAGCGACTGGACTCGTGAGCCACGGCCGCTGGGCCTGCACGTCCGGAGCCTGTGCTCCGCAATGGGAGAGGCCACAACAGTGAGAGGCCCGTGTACCGCAAAAAAACCCAAACAAACAAACAAACAAAAAAACCACCTCCATTGGTGATTGTTGCACAGCTTTGTGAATATAATAAAACCCACTGAATTGTACACTTTAAAAGTGTGAATTATGTGGTATGTGAATTATATCTCAATAAAACTGTTATTAAAAATTCTACTGTACAAAATGTTTTCATAGGTGCAAAGTAATAGAATTTCAATTTATATTCACTATTAATTTAAAAAAATTGTTAACCTTAATAAATGTTTAAAGCTTTAGAAATATGAAATTATGTATGACTTAAGAAAATAATTTGTTCTTATTCAGTAGTAACATGTTTATTATAGAAATTTCAGAAACTCTAGATAAGAAAAGACATTTTAAAAATGTGCGGATATTTTAATATTCGCATCTATCCTGTATTCTGTCCCTAAGCTTTCTCTGTACTTAACTACTTCCTTGGCATCCATACTTTTCCCACCAGCTTTCATTATTTATTTATTTATTTATTTAAAATTTATTATTTTTGGCTGCATCAGGTCTTAGTTGTGGCACACGGGCTCTGTAGTTGTGGCATGTGGGCTCTGTAGTTGCAGCATGCGGGCTTAGCTGCCCCGCAGCATGTGGCATCTTAGTTCCACAACCTGGAATCAAACCTGCATCCCCTGCATTGGAAGGCGGATTCTTAACCACTGGACCACCAGGGAAGTCCTGTTGCTGGCTTTCATTAGTAGTACATAGCTTTTCATGACCATCTTAGGAAAACAACCAGTTGTAAAAATATCTTCTTATAAGAGTAAAAAAGCATTGAAAGCACTGAAGAGTAAAAAAGAGTGAAAGCATTGGCTTTTCTTCCTGGACTATGAGAGGTGTACATGAGCAATGAGATCATTATCTTAAATACAATAAATATCTTGCAGAATATCTTCTGAAATACAGTAAGCTTGGGATTTTGCTGTAAAATTTTGCTTTAAAACATTTTGGATTTAAAGTGAAAACTCTGAATGTTTGATAAATAGTATTGTGGCATTGGTTCTTGTGTAGATGGTATATTTTCTTTTAAACTTTTGTTACCATTTTTAGCATTAACTTTCTAGCAGCTAAAATTGTTCAAAACATAGTTTAAAGATAAATGCAATATCAGGCTTTGAATTTTTTTTTTTTTTTTTTTTTTTTGGTAAATACTAAGAACTGAGTACAAAATGAGGGCTGTATTGTGGATTAAGTTGAATATCTTAAGGCTGTGCTGTTCTGATAACTGAACCTGAAGTGACCTTTCTCAGACACAATTACAGAGCTGTATGTTTTTCCTTTAATTTCATCAGGGGTTTAATTAGTATACAAATAAAACTTCCCTTATCTTCCTTTCTACCTAATTGGCTTGTCTTCGCTTATATATGAAGTATGTGAAAGTGGGCTGTAATTAGGGTGACCGTGTTAACCTTTTTTCCTCAAATGTACTGTTGCCTAAAGGCCTCAAGGCCTAAAAACAGTGCTTTGGATTATTGCTTTGCAATCGCTGTGGTTGTCCCATAGGTTTTCTCATGAGCAGAAGGGCTTTGGGTGCTGCAGGTTCCCACTGCTTAACAGGATCTTCATTCTTCTCCCCACTAAATGTTTATTGATTATCTTGCTGTTCCAGGCTCAGCCTCCAACAACTTAATATCAGGTGACAGTCAGGAGAGTTCTCCAAGTAATTAGAGTTGAGCATTGGGGGAACAATTAGGAGCAGAGTTATTAAACTTGATTTATCCTATTCTCCCCTGAACAGTTTCTTGGATATCAGGACATCACACTTTCACAGTCTGCCCTGGTTGAGAAATTAGTGGCTAACCTGCTTGCTTATCATCACTGCCTAGCTGCCCAGAGGTACACCCTCTTGGTTTCAGTCCTTCAGTTGGAAAAATTAGAGTCCATAAAGTTTATCATGGGTTTTAATTAGATAAATCTGAACGGGAGAAAAGAAAAGCTGAAGTTAAAATTTTATATGTGTCTGTAATATATATTACATATGGTATGGGTACATATGTATATACATCATATATACACACACACACACATGAATATGTTTTTCTTATTTTAAAGCTTAGTATTAGGATTTTTAAGGATTCTACTTTTGTCATCAAACACAAAAATGTGAACATCAGAGAAAAGACATATTACTGAATCACTTTTTATGTCTTGGTGTTTTGCATACATCACCACGAACCTTAGGACTCATTGATGTACATAGATTCCATTGTGATGTTCCTCAGCTCTTTAAAATGAGAATGCTGTGTCCATAAGTTATATAACTATGATTATTCTTTTTTCAAAAACTGTTATCTCTTCATTTTTACACTAAGGAAGTATGATCCATATCACCTATTTATACCATTTTTTTTGTTTGTTGTCTGTAATTTCAGTCTTAGAGTAGGCTATTCATCTGTACCTCTGAAATAGTGCAAGCTTTAGAAGAGTTTGGTGGCTCCCTGCTATTGCCCCTGAGAGAAGGAGATGAAAGCTGATGGTAACTGGAAGATTTAGATATATAGTGGAGATTCTAATTCTATGAGTTATATCTTCTTTGGAAGGAGATCATAGAATTGCTGAAAAGTCAAGTATGGTTTTATAGTGATTTTAAGGTCATGGGTTCTCTCAGATTGGACCAGTGAGCTTCGCTCTGGGTAAGGCTGGAATCAATATCCTGAACATCCCTCACAAATATACACCTCTAGTCATAAGAATTACTGAGCAATAGAATTTGAATGGAGTGGCACATTCTATTATTTCTGTTGGAAAAATAACTCAAGCTTTATGTGTAACTGGTGGTGGATCATTAATTTTATATTCACATCTGAAAAATAGCATTTTTTATTACCTGAAAGATGTCAGAAATATTGCCTTTAAAAGGACTCAAATGGGTTTTATTTTTTTAAAGAAAGATATCTCATGATACTTCAGTGCCTTTAAATATCTTAACATTGGCACAAAATAAGTAGGTTTAGCATGGCTTTTCAAATCTATTCTTTGTTGTCTTTTTAAGTTGGTTTGAATCAGTGACTATTTCCATAGTGGGTTATTCTTAAAGATCTGTTAGTACTAAAAATTTAAAATAAAACATAATATCTAAAAAGTAGTCACAGTTTGCTTATTTTTAGTTTCTTGACTTGTATTTGTCTGGCAGCAACTTGACTGTTTGAAAGTGAAATACTGAATTAAATTTCTTTTAGCATTTAAAAATAACTAGTTTAAGGGTAAGCTGGGACGAAGTGAGAGAGTAGCATTGACATATATACACTACCAAATGTAAAATAGATGGCTAGTGGGAAGCAGCTGCATAGCACAGGGAGATCAGCTTGGTGCTTTGTGACCACCTATAGGGGTGGGATAGAGAGGGTGGGAGGGAGACGCAAGAGGGAGGGGATATGGGGATATATGTATACATACAGCTGATTCACTTTGTTATACAGCAGAAACTAACACACCATTGTAAAGCAATTATACTCCAATAAAGATGTTAAAAAAAAAATACCTGGTTTTGCTTTCAATTCATATTGTTCAGATTGAATTAATTGTTTTAGCTCCATGCAGGCAGCTTGAGTTTTTATACTACTTATTGTGAGTGCATTAAATTAATATTATTAGAAAAGTTTTAAACATGAAATTATTGCATCTTGGTTGTTCTTTACTGGGTATTTGAAGCATAGTTGTGAATGTTAATGTGTGGCTACACTCTTAGAAAGAAGAAAAAATATTATGTGTATGCAATCAATTATTTAGTTCACTGTCCAACAAACTTAATTGAAAAACTGGTTGATAAGCTCATATTCTAGAAATTTCATAGGCAAAGGAATGAGCAGATTTTTAGTGCTAAGAGATCCTCTGATCCCTATATTATTTTACATCCTAGAATTTAAAATAAGAAAATACTCCTTTAACTTACGAGTTTTTGAGTCTAAGACCTTTAGCCTTAAAGTTCCAAGATGAAATTGTACTCTTGTATCTTGAAATTTTTGTGCTAAGTGAATATTTCAGATTAAAGCACATAGCAAATATCAATCGACAGATTTTATACTTCTATGACTAGGAAAATATTTATGGAACATAATTTCAAATGCAAGTATTGTTTATAACTCTCTCTGTTGAAACATGTTGATCACGTTTGTGTTTTCTCTGACATGCGAGTTTTTTATGGGAAATAAGTGAATTTTATTTTCGAGTCCAGTGTGTTTGTTCACTGAGATGAGCAAACTGTTCATCTGCAACGTAACTGTTATTGATACATTTAAAAAGAGAGTAGTGGTGCTTTTAAATTTTGGGTTCCCCATTCTCTTAAAGGTATCCTAATCTACCTTTTTCTCCATCACACACATACTTTGGCCTATGATAGTTCTTGTTTTAAATAGACTCTAAATTTCATGTGCTTTTTCCATTGAAATCTTTATTTTTTATCATTAAAAGAAAATGCAACCTGAGGTTTTTAATAATCAGATATTTTTTCGTAAGAATAGAATGTATTTGCCTTGCAGTATTTACAAAAACAAAACAGAGTTGTATTTTGCAGCTAAACCTTTTTGAAAATCTTATCAGTTCTATCATTTCTAATTAGTAAGTATGTAAAAGTTTTTGCAGAAAATTTGTTAAACCTTGATGGGTAATGACCCAAGTCTACTTCTCAGTCAGTCTGTATCCTTCTTTGTTTAATAGCCTATGGCATAAATTGAAGTTAATTATCAGGGCTGACAGGTAACTCTGCTTTCTGTCTGCTTGCAGAGTCTCTCCGAGGCAAAGATGGAGCTGAGAAGAAAAGATCAATCTCTGCGGCAGCTCAATAGACATCTTACCCAGCTGGAGCAGGACAAGCGTGGACTGGAGGAGAACATCCGCGATGCAGAGAGTGCCCTCCGCATGGCAGCCAAGTGAGCATTTGGACCTTGGGGAGATCACTTAAAACAGACAAAAGATCAATTCTTACTTTCATGCTCTGGGTTTTAGCCCTGGATAATACAGTGTTAGAAAACAAAAGTACAGCTGTCTCTCTTTGAAATTCTCTGATATATCCTCAAAAAAGAAAACTCTTAACATACTAAATGTATATTTTATTGAGAAACCTTAGAAAAGAATAAGTTTCTATATAACCTCTAATGCTGTGTATTTTAGTTTCTGTTGTAGCATTACATGTTTGAAATCAGGTTTTCATTAACTTGAGATGTAAGACTCTATATTTTAAAGTCTTGAATAGTTTCTCTTATCACATATTTCTCATCCCTTTCTGCCCCACTGCCTCCCAAATTTTCTTCTGCATATATTATACTAATATTGCAAGTAATATTTCCATAAAGAAATGCTAGTATATAATCAACGTGTGTATTGTAGCATCTTTTTAAGTGCAATAAAAACATATTGATCATGGAAAATTCATTTAAGTTTATAGCTGTATATTCAAATATGTTAAATAGAGAAAAATATGCAATTTTCAGAGTGGGCAACTGTGTAAATGTGATGAGAGTGTTTTTCCTTTTACCAGGTAATCAAGTTGACATACACTGTGAAGTTCAAATTGAATAGTTCTCTTGGGTATTTTTATTTGTTCCCCACATCAAATTTCATGGAGCACTTTAAGACAGTCCTTTTTACAACAGCATGGCTTAAAGAAAATCTATTTATGGATTAAACATCTAATTTTAATAAACTCAGTGTTTTCTAAATTTGGAGTTCTGGATTCCTGTACTTGCAAATACATGCACACATATACATATATGTATGTATATATATATTTGCACATGTATAACTACAACTTAAAAATGTTTGGAGACAAACTCTTGGTAAGCATAACATAAGAAATATGAATGTAATGTGTAAACTAAGTCATAAAACGGGCAGTTTGCAATCCTAGGATACCCACAGCTTTGTCAGTGGGCTTGGGATATTGCTCACACATAATGAAAAAATGAGTGTACACAATGCCACAATATTGGCATGTTTGAATACCCACCAATACATTTTTGGAAAATTGTAAGGCTCTATAACAGTGCACTACCATATTAGTTATATGTAATTATCATTTTTAAAAAATATGTTTGACTGAATCAGCTTTTTGCTGTCATTTTTCAGTCTCAGTTTCCTCATGTCAAATGAGAAGCTTAGCATAGGTAACTTTTAGTACGTCTCAGAGCATTGAAAATTCTAAGATGAATGAAAACAAGATTATAAAACCTCTAGATTCATATTGTGCCTTCAGAATACTGCTGGGAGTTCAGGAGTTTGTCAAGTCTGAGATCTGTGACCATGGGCACATGTGCTTATAAGAAAGCTAAAGAAAGCTAATTTGAAATTTGGAGAGCTAATACATTATTTACGGTTTTCAATTTATAATTCACCATTAAAATTTTGTCTTCAGCATTCTCATCCCAACTTTTAATTTCATCATGAAGGCTAAACTCAATATTACAAGGCTAGAGAAGAAAATAGTAACTTTGCATATTTCTAGTCAAGGCCATAGAAGGTTTTTGTGTAATTATTATAGCACAAAAAACCCATGGAGCAGGGAAAATATTATTGTGCCCAGTATGACCATTTATATCTCCAGCACTAGTATTTCTAAAGTCTTTTTCATTAGAAGCCAAAAGAATGCACGTTTAGCCTTTTCAGCACATTGTAAATCAATAATGTAATCACATGATTTCTTTTTTCTTTCTTTCTTTTTCACTCTCTTTTAACTTTGAAAATATCCGTAAGAATTTCTCCGCCCTCTAAATTTTGGCAGGCAGTATAACTGAAGATAAGAATTAAATGCGGAAATACACTAGTGAATATGGTCAGGTTTTACACTTTAGGAAAAACCAACCCTTATTTTTCAATAATAGTCACTTATACTAAAATGTGTAGCAATTATAGTAAGGTTTGGGTTTTACTAACACCTAATCTTTATTTTGTTTCTAGGGACAAAGAATGTGTTGCTCATCATATGAGAACAGTAGAAAATGTGCTTCATAAGGTATTATAATTTTTCCTCAATATTGTTCAAATTGTATTGTGACACAGTTCTCCTAGTTATTAATTTTATTAACTGCAAAGTACTTTAATTCATTTTGTAGCTTTCTTTAAAAATAAATTAGCAAAAGGATCCTTTCAGATGACTGAAAATTTGTATTGAACAATGCTATATTGCATAACTTTTTTCAGAATTCACTTTATGTATATGATAAAACTATGAAAATAGTGGTTTCCCCAAACTGGTATAATTGCACTTGAGTTATTTGTGGTCTTTGCTGACTGAACTAGAGGTCATTAAGATTCATATATGTCTCATAATGATAAAATGTTTGACTACACTGTCTAACCTCTTACCACTCTTAAACCTACTATCCTACATACATATATGAATATAGAGAGAGAGACATAAAGTATTGTATTTGGCAGTACTCATATACCTTAACCTAGGCAGTAATGTTTTTCAAGTTGTAACTTACCTTTTTATAGGAATGTATTCTTAAAGTAGAAATTGAATATACTTAATAATAGTCTGTTATTTTCAATTTGATTATTTCTGTATGATAAATTGACTTTTAGTTTGTAGTGATGAACAGCATAATAAGGATATTACAATATTACTAAAAACTTAATATCATTAAGTGTTGACTCAATACTGACTGAGTACTTTGTTAGCACTCCAGATTCAAAGATGTCTCATTATTTCATTATTTAAAAGTAGAGAAATGTTATTTGTTTCTGTTATTATTTAACAGACAATTTGTTGGAATAATGTAAATACCTAGTACTTTTAAGATATATGGAATTTGTGAATGAATCATATTTAGAATAATTTTGTGAATCAAATTTTTTATACAGTATAGTTTTAAATCACTTAAAAATATCCTAAAAACTAATCCTGTTAAGGAACTACAAAATAAAATCAATAAACATATTTAATACATTTTAACATTTTAAAAACAATGGACCTCTGTATTCTTTGATATTGAAGGTGACTAGCAAAAAGTGACTCACAGAAAGTATTCTGAAAAAAAGAATCTAATACTCTGAGTGCTATTTTTAAGCAATATTATTTGAAATTGTGATTTCTCCTCCTTCCCACTTAAAAAAATTTAGCCTGTCGGTATAGTTTAAATATAATCACATCAAATCCATATATGCTAGAAATCTGAAATTTAGGTTTGTAGGAAAAGAGACATCTTTGGTTAGATTTTTTTTGGTATGTGGTGAGACTTTCGATAGGAAAAATAAATTATGTCATGTATTTGGCATACCTTTTTATACCAGTTAATGTTGCCTTTGAAATCAATTGTTTGTCATCTCCCCAGACAGAGGAAAGTAATGTTGGTTAGCAGCTGTTTTGGGAATGGACTTTGATATCAAACAAAAACCATCATCAACGTGAAATATAAATGTTGTACCTTACCCTTTCATTATGAGAATGGCAAAATATGTATTTTAAATACAATAAAGACTGATTGCAGCAGGACAGTTGTAATCATGCGCTTCTTCATTTGCAGTTCTTTTGATTTTCGTGTCATATGGAAAGAAAGATGTCTGCAGAATTGGCCTACAACCACTGTAGATTTACTTTTGCTATATGGCTTTTTAATCTCCCTTCAGATGTAATAGTTAGTTATTTTGATTTAAGTCTCTGGAAATTTCTATGTGTATAGTGATTTTTAAATTATCAATTACTTTTCAAGCTTGAAGTGAAAATTTAGGAAAGGCTAATTGATTATTGGGCTAATTCTCTTTTCTACGAAGTGTGGGTGAGAATGAATGGGTGATTAAGGAAGAGACCCAGAGGGTACCTCTGAAGCTCTCAGGAGCTCTCAGGTGCAGCCCACCTGTCTTCAAGCCGGAGTTTGCAGGTTTATTTTTTTTGGCCACTGTGGACTGTCCAGTGGCATTTTGCTGTCTTGGAGAATCTAAGAGTAATATAGAAGGAGGGTCCAGGCTCTTTCATGGTACAGTAAAAATGACTGTGGTTACATCCAAGCTCTTCAGCATAGTTTACTGTACATAGTCAAATAGTATAGCTATTCATATTTCTTAACCACATACGTTTGCAAGGTATGCACCAGTTATTCTAGAATAAAACCAAATTTTAACCTGCTGAATTGAATTTTAATACTAACTTCTGACACAATAATCAAATAAAAAGAACTTACTTTCATGTAGACATTATTTTCTTGTACTTTAAAGAACTTAAACTAAACATGTTTGCTTTTAGGAAAAGTGATTACTTTTTGGATATTTGTTAATGTTTAAATTTGACGCATTAACATTCAACCTTTCAGATCCTAAAACTGTATTATACACAGCTGTTGACTGTATATTATTTTCAAAATCCCATTTGGGACTGATACTAGTATTTAATAAAGAAGGCTAGTCATTTTAAATTTAAAAGCATATACATTTTTTTTTCAAAGAAACAGAAGTTTTTTTAAAAAAATTACATTTAAATATATTTTATTTATGGTTGTTTTAAATAGAGGCCAGAAGTTAACTTTTTATTAAGAAACATTTTTGGGGCTTATTTCAAGTTATTTGGGGTTAAGAAAAGTAAGACAAAGAGAAAAACAAAATCATTACAACTTTTCATGAGGTACATTTTTTTTAATACACACACTTTTCTATTTAGTTGAATTCTGAACTACTTTTTGTATTTTAGAAAAAACATAACTATTGAACTTTTAAAAAATCACCATTTAAACCATTTAAAAAATGTACAGTTCAGTGGCTTTCAATATATTTACAATGTTGTGCAACCATCACAACTATCTAACTCCAGAATATTTTTATCACCCCCAAAAGAAACCCAGTAGCCATTAAGCAGTCACTCCTATACCCCCTCATCCCATTCTGTGTGTTGTCTTTTTACTTTTTTGTTAGTGTCCTTTGATCAGCAAAAGTTTTGAACTTTGATGAAGTCCAGTTTTTTCTTTTGTTGCTCATGTGTTTGGTCTCATATCTAAGAATGCATTGCCAAATCCAAGGTCATGAAGATTTTACCCTATGTTTTCTTCAAAGAGTTTTATAGTGTTAACTCTCATATTTAGGTCTTTGGTCCATATTGAGTTAATTTTTGTATGTGGTATGATGCAAGGATCCAGCTTCACTCTTTTCCATGGATATCCAGTTATCCCAGCACCATTTATTAATAAAAAGACTGTTCTTTCCTTCCATTCAGTAATCTTAGTAGCCTTAGTGAAAATCAGTTGACTATATCAATTGACAAATCAATTGATCATATGAAAATATAACTGATTTTTGGGTGTTGATCTTGTATACTGCAACTTTGCTGAATTTATTAGCTCTAATAACTTTTTTATGGATTCTTTAAGACTTTCTGTATATAAGTTTATGATATCTACAAATAGAAGATAGTTTTACCTCTTTCTAATTTGGATGCCCGCCCTCCTCCCTCCCTTCCTCCCTCTCTTCCTTTTCTTTCCCTCCCTCCCTCCCTTTATTCCTTTATTTCATCTCATTGCCTGACTAGAACTTCCAGTCCTAGCCATATGATAATATGATGACAACAGACTTTCTTGTGTGTTGTTCCTAATCTTATGGGGAAAGCTTTTGGTCTTGCACCATTAAATGTTATAGACGTCCTGTATCAGATTGAGGAAGTTCTTTCCTGTTTCTAGTATTTTGAAGTTTTCTTGTCATGAAAGGGTGTTGTTGGGCTTTGTCATATGCTCTTTCTGCATCAAATGAGATGATTGTTTTTTTTAAATCTTCATTCTGCTAATGTTGTGTACTGCATAGATTGACTTATATATGTTAAACCATCTTTGCATTTCTGGTATAAACACCACTTCATTGTGGAGTATAATCATTTGAATATGCTGCTAGATTTGGTTTGCTAGTATTTTTTGAGGATTTTTGCATCTATGATCCTAAGAGATATTGGGCTGCAGTTTTCCTGTTATATCTTTGTCTGGCTTTGGTTTCAGAGTAATACTGGCCTCATAGAATGAATTTAGGAGTAGCCCCTCCACTTCAATTTTTTTGGGAGACTTTGAGAAAGATTGGTGTTAATTGTTTAAATTTTTGGTAGAATTTACCAGTAAAGCTGTCTGGTCCTGCGATTTTCTTTGCTGGAAGCTTTTTGAATACTGATTCAATCTCTCTCCTTGTAATAAATCTATTTAGATTATCTGTTTCTTTTTGATTCAGCTTTGGTAGTTCATGTGTTTCTAGGAATTTATCTTTTTCATCTAGGTTATCTAATTTGTTGACATAAAGTTGTTCATTTTCTTAGAATTGTTTTATTTCTGTAAGGTCAGTAGTAAAATGTCCCCAATTTAATTCTAATTTTTGTAATTTATTAATCTTTTTTTCTTGCTGAGTCTAGTTAAGGTTTGTCAATTTTGTTGATCTTTTCAAGGAACCAAATTTGGTTTTCTTGATTTGCTCTATTATTTTTCTGCTCTCTATTGTGTTTATCTCTGTTCCAATCTTTATTATTTCCTTCCTTTTGTTTGCTTTGGGTTTAGTTTGATCCTCTTTTTCCAGTTCCCTCAGATAGAAGGTTAGTTTATTGATTTGAGATCTTTGTTCTTTTTACATGTAGGCGTTTAAGCTATAAATTTCCATGTGAACACTGCTGTCGCTGCTTCCCATAAGTTTTGGTATGTTGTGTTTTTGTTTTCATTTATCTCAAAGTATTTTCTAATTTCTCTGTGATTTCCTCTTTGACCTATTCATTGTTTAAGAGTGTGTTGTTTAATTTCCAAAATATTTGGGCATTTTCCAGATATCTTTTTGCTATTTAGTTCTAAGGTAATTCTGTATGGTTTGAAATAGTTTATAAGTATTGTTTTATGTAGTTGTCTTTTAAATCATATAGGAAAAAAGAGGAGTTACAAATCATAAATACATCAATACTGACTTTTATATTTATGTATTCAGTTTCCTTCACTGGTATTCTTGATTTCTTCTTGTGGATTTGAGTTACTGTCTAGTGTCCTTTCATTTCGGACCAAAGGACTC